GCTGTTTAAAGTCTACAGCAGCAAATGCTCCATTCTCTTGTCTTTAACATCCCGCCAGAATCTATTAATAATCTCTTGATTTTCCCCCCTGTCCCATCTGCTCTCCTTTTATGGACCAGGGTTGCTCATAATGAGGAGCTGCGGTGGCTCAAGTGGTTAAGACACTGAACTGTAGGCTGTGGAAGGTCGGTAGTTCAGCAGTTCGAGACCCGGGTGTGCCGCATGACGGAGTGAGCTCCCGTCTCTAGTTCCAGCTCCTGCCAACCCAGCAGTTCGAAAGCAAGAAATTGCAAGTAGATAAATAGGTACCACTTTGGTGGGAAGGGAACAGCGTTCCGTGCGCCTTGGCATTTTAGTCATGTCGGCCACATGACCACGGAAAACGTCTTCGGACAGCGCTGGCTCTTCGGCTTTTAAACGGAGATAAGCACCGCAACTGTAGAGTCGGACTCGACTGGCTTTCGAGCAAGGGAAACCTTTACCTTTACCTGCTCATAATGACATGATTGTTAAGTTAATGGCTTCAGATCATTGTGTTGTCGAAGGCTTTCACGGCCGGAGTTCATTAGTTGTCGTAGATTTTCCGGGCTGTGTGGCCGTGGTTTTGGCTTCAGATCATTGCCTGTGCAATACACGGCAAGTGTATCAATGCAATACACCAGAGTAGGCACAAGTATCTAAATATTCTAAACGAATGCTCATATTCATTGATGCTCCTATTAGTTTTAAGAAAGTACGACTTACTACAAACCACACACATTCCTCCATCTATTAATTTTTATTTTCTACTCAGGGCTAGTTCTGTCACCTGGAATCCTCACAAATTGATGGGCGTTCCGTTGCAGTGTTCAGCATTTTTGGTCCGTGAGAAGGTAAGCACGAGGTGCCCTTTGCGTGGCCACATCAGGCAGCACTGTGTGTTCAGTGGCATGGGATTCCTGACCAGTTTTAAAAACAGACTCTTAGGGCTGAACTGCATCTTAAGCTGGGGATATATGATTGATGGGGTGGCCTTAGATACAGCAGTGCTTGCGGGTGTCAGCTACGCTGCCATGAGTGTGCAGTTGTTTTCTAATTGCTTTGCATTCCCTCCCATGCGCTTAATTGCTTCAGAGCTGGAACGTTTATCTTTGATGTTGTGCTGGTGGAGAATGTGGTATCTATCAATTGTGGGAGCTTCTCCGTTCCCAGCTTCACAACCGTTAGAGAAGCCAATGGTATCCCACACGCGGGAGCCCACCTAATTGGTTATTGCTAGGGGGAGGGCGCATACGAATGCCCTATATCCTATTATGTGCATAGGTAGCCTGCCATTCCTAACAATGTTCCTGTTATCGCATCTATGGCTTTTCAATAAAAGTAAAACCTTCCTGAAAGAGTGTACTTCATTATTTAGCTGTGGGTCCTGACAGCTGGGAGATGCAGTAAGGTGGGACAGGAAACAGGAAACAGAAGGGGGGAGTGTTGGCCTGGGCTTTATGCTGCCTAACTGAATGACACAGCAGTTGCGATGCCTGTTTAAGATTTACAATAAGCCGTGTTTGGAATCTAGATTGTACTCAGTTGCATGATACAACAGCTGGAGTCCCCCATAGTTTAGCCTTAAAAGGCAGGGGGGCGGGGTCTGGATAGAAACTCGTCTACACGAAAAGGGGAGTGTTGTTTTCCTCCAGTGTAATTTCCCAGCCCTGACCCAGGTAGCTCATCAGATCTCGGAAGTGAAGCAGGGTTGGTCCTGGTTACTGTTTGGATGGGAGACCACCACGTAGATCCAGGGTCACTGTGCAGAGAGGCAGGCAATGGCAAACCACTTCTGGAGGTCTCTTGCTTGGAAAATCCTTCAGGGGTCGCCTTAAGTCAGCTATGACTTGTACCTTGTCAAAATTGTTCCCCCTCCCCCTGGTTTCTATTAGCCCTGATTTGGGGGGGGGGGAACACAGGCAACACGAGGGTAGTTATCTTTTTGTCCTACTGGAGCTAAGATAAACCCAGGGATGTAACTCTGTTCAGGATTGCACTTTTAGTAGTGTAATTGGGATTGCTCAATTTTTACAGATCTTTGAATATTCTACTTTTTGGGGGTTTTTACTGGGAAGGTAGTCAAGCTGCTAATGCCTGTTTTTGCTAACAAAAACCAATCAGTTAACAAGAAACTAAAAGACCTGCGGTTGATGAGCTGCAGGGCTATTTTTGGGCAGGAACGCACAGGAACGGCGTTCTGGCTGGCTTCAGAGTTGGCCACGCCCACTACAGCCAAAATCTCTGTGTGCGTGGCTACAGAGGGAAGGCCTGGAGAGCGACCCCCCCGGCGACTCC